TGGGGTGTCGACTGGAATTCCTTTATAGATTTCTTTCTGTGGTAAATTGTCTGAAGTAAACATATTGCATTCTGAGAATCAGTTTAGGATTGAATGACATATACTGGCTGACGAGTGGAAGGCGCAGCACAATACTTTACTAGGTGCTGTTGGAGATGAGTTGGTTAGAAATGTAACATAAGCTAGTTGGGGTCTAAAAGGATGTGGAAACACATAAGAACTCTTGAATGGAAATGGGAAAGAAATGTAATCAATAGAGATAGTTGACAGTTGAATCTGAAGTGTTGAATCTATAGCACAATTCATATGGTAAAATATTCTATCAACAAATGTGTGAAAATAGCTGGACATATGAAACATGTGAAATGCATTACACTGATAACTTCTTTTGGAAATTATATAGCCATTTTGCGTAACAAAAATTGTGATTACTAAGTTGTTATCATTGTCGTCATTGTGTTGCTCTGTTGTTGTTATTATTGTTATTGTTTGATAGAATCTACCATTCCAAAAGTGAAGTTAATTAATGATCAAATGAAGTAAGTGAAAATTTCAATTATGTGACTAGCATGTTTGGGCTAAGCTTAGAACTTACTTTTAAGTAAATTTTATAACCAATTAACTTTTGGAAAAGTACGCCTATTCTTACTTAACGAAAAACCGTTTTTAGCGCTTAGCCAAACATGCTGCCATCCGAAAAAATTTAAGTATTTTTTATGGCTTACATATTTGGCACTAATTAACTGTTTTTCAACCATAAAATCTTGAAATGCACATCTGATTTGTGACAGTATCCATGGATATATCATGAATCATGGTTCCAAGAACTGATGGAGGACAAGCAACTGAATTTCAACCAACCGCTTCTATCTGTGAGAAGATTTTCACCAACAGTTGCCTCCGAAAAAGAAGAGAAACATAAAACCGAAAATACCCTTCACAGGATACCGCGACTTCCACATTACAGATCAGAACTGAAATCTGGCCCTGTGAGTAATCCAGTAGCTGTGCCTTTTGTCTGGGAACAAAAACCCGGAAGACCAAAGGAAGATATCAAACCACAAACTCAGTACTCCGATAGGCCTCCAGTTGCCCCAAAGCTTCCTCCTGGGAGATCTCCAAAGGCTAACCAGCAAAATTCTGATAAAGATTCTGCAACTGCTAGTGTAACTAAAAGCCAATTGCAAAATGTCACTCACGACGTACAGAGTGTTCCATCTGTGCTTGATAAAAACAAGAACATTGATATCCTCCAAGAGACAAAAGAGGATGAAGAGAGTTCTGATTCAAGTGTTGGTGAAGAACCATATGTAGATGCACTTGATACACTTTCAAGAACTGAATCGTTTTTCTTGAATTGTAGTTTGAGTGGTTTAAGTGGATTTGATGATCTTGAAATGAAACCTTCTGGAAGGTTTTCCACTGATCCACAAATGCAGGAGTTCATGATGGGTCGGTTTCTCCCTGCAGCTAAGGCAATGGCTTCAGAAATGCCTGAATATGTTCCCAAAAAGAAACCTGTAGTTCGAGAAAAACCAAGGCAGATAAAGAAAAAAGCAATAGGAGATAAGCCTCTGTTGCGATATGGTCCTAGTTTTGCAAATCAATATTCCCACAAATATCACAATAATGATGGTGATGATAATGAAGAAAGTGATGATGATTATCATCAAGGTGATAATTTGCCAGCAGTTTGTGGGTTGCTACCTCGGTTTTGCTATAAGAGTTCACTCTGCCTTTTAAATCCTGTACCCGCAATGAGTGTGAGGACCCGAGTACCAAGGTCTCCTGCTAGTAGAATGCAAGCGAGATCTTCATCAGCTTGTTCTTTCAGTCGAACAGAGAATGAGGTAATCTTCTGCCCCCGGCCCCTACTTATTTGTGCCAATCTCCATGCGTGGGTTTTGTTAGATTAAATTGTACTTATATTTAATGAAGCAGTCCAATTCTCTCACTTCTGAGAGAAAATCTGCTGATGAAGTCCAAACAGATGCCATCGAGGATAAAACAAGTTTGAGAAATCAGCTTAATTCAAATCATCGGCAGAGACTGAATCTAAAAGGATCATCTCTACGTGGGCCACTAGATGGACATAATACGTCTATCTATTTTGTTGAATCACCTCAATCCATTCGTGATGAGAAAGGTTTCTTTGCCATTCCTGAAGAAACAAAGGGCTGCAAAACATTTCAAGAAGTATCGTCTGATCAGGGCAGTTCAAAGGAATTAGATTCAGGAAATCCGGTCGAGAAAACTTTGTATGTAGATACTATACAGCAGGTGGAATCTCCAAGAACTAGATTTTGTTTGTCACATAAGCAAGGAATGGAGCGAATGCCTGGTTCAGGAGACAAAGATTACGACATTGCTAAGTCCAAAGATCAACATAAATTGGATAATGCAGACAAAGGAGCAAAATTACTGCCTGAGGCTCAGAAATCTAATGACTTTATTGTAGTATCTTCAGTCAATAAATCAAATCAAAAAGAGGGAATGGAGGCAATAAATGCTTTTGGACATGATCAAGAAGTTTACCGGAATTCAAATACTGCCAAAAATTTAAATGTAAATGAAAAGGAAGCTACTGAGAGCTTACAAAAGCGTTCAGCAGAAGCAGAAAATTTAGAGAATTCTCATCAAAGCCACTTGCAGTTTCCTGTTCCTCCACCTTTACCGAAATCTCCATCAGATTCTTGGCTTTTCCGTACTTTGCCTTCCATTTGCACAAAGAATTCATTTCAACGTTCATACATTGGCACAATAACAAATTCTCAAAACTGGGGACTTAAGGCACAATCCGGAGATCCCAAATCGGAACAATGGTTAAAACTAAAAAGGTGGAGCATCAATTATTCATTATTTTGAGATACTGTTGCTCATTTTTTTTACTAATTATTTGATTCTACAAATTCACTTCACATGTTCTTATACATAAAAGTCTAATAATTATTTCCTTCTGTCAGAAACAGTTGACTCCTATTCCTGAAACATTGAAGAACCATTCCTGAGGCTCTTCGGTTCATATTCAGCTTTATATTTGGAAATCCATTAGCTTAATGGACTTGTAAGATGACAAAAAGCTGCAACTTTTTCTTGTTTTCTACAGTTTTCTGGAGTTGCTTTGTTATCCTAGAGGGCAATGAGTTTCTGTATAGATTCATTGTTAGGCTTTGGGTTATTTTCTTCTGTACAGTTGTACATCTCTATAGAGAAACACGAGACTAAACTTAATATACAGATGATGAAAGAAAGGCACGTTAGTAATTTGGACTGGATATGATTAAGGATGATGACATGCACGTGAGATTTTTTTTTTTTATAGTTATGTTTGTTAAAATGTATCAAATATTGTTAAATAATAAAAAGTTCAAGATTTAGACTTGTTTAGTACTCAATATCAAACGTGTCTTAAAAGGTTATTGATCTTATATATTGACACAAATTCTAAAAGTTGAAAGAGATTTTATTAGCAAGGAATTGAAGTTTAGGAAATACTATTAGAACTGTTCACATTCTAATTTCAATGGATTTCTTTACAAGTGTCTATACCCAACTGTATGACTGGTAACATGATTGATATATCAATGGAACGTATTGAAGAACAAAAAGAAACTAAAATTTTGTTTTCAATACAATTGAGCCCTATGATTTTCCGCACACATTTTGTTGGAAAAATATGATAAACTAAAGTTATTTCTTTGGGCGCTTATTCTTCCTCTTTCAATCATGGCAATGATCACGAGTTTATGCTTATTATCGCAATACTTAATGGAAATGTGGCTAGTGGTGGTGGGGAAGATAGTGGTGGTGGCGGCGGCGGCAATGGTGTTCGCTCTGCTTACAAAAATGCAATTTGTAAACTAATGCTAATGCTTGAAAAATGGATAGTAATTTGCTTCTGAGAAATAGA